AGAACTTATAAGTGGTTAGAAATAATCTGCAAACTGTTACCTTTTATAAATTACTTAAGATCTGTAAATTAATGATGAAGAACATCTAAATAATCAAATTATTGTTACAATTAAGTAGCTCAAACCACTAGATACCATGGTCATCTGAACCTGGACTGGGAAAACGCCACCATAGACTATATCATTTTAGTCAATAAGGCCCAGCTACAGCTTCATTTTTCAGATGCATTTTTCACAATATATCAGACCTTCTTAATTTGTGGGTTTTTTTTTTGCTCTTTGTATCGCGTTTCTTTGTATGCATTCATTATATAAGCATTCTATTATTTCAGCTGCCTGTCTTCTTAAAGATCTTTGACTGGAACCCTCTAAGGAGTCTTACTAGGTCCTGGAGAAGAAAATAATTTGGTCCTTTTGTTTTTATATATAACTGTCAGGCTTCCAACAGCTTTAAATTTCATCTATCAGAAAGCAGAATCTATTGCAAATTACAGAAAGGTGTGCCAAGAAACGTGAAATTAAAAATGGAAATTAATTAAGTTAAATGCCGAGATTTTTTTCTGGATATGTTTTTGCGGTACAAAAACATTCAGTTACAGCAATGACACTAGTACATTATAATACACAGACAGTCCAAAGGCCTTTTCTCTTACATTTTACTATCAAAATAAGCTAAAATCGTAATGAAGCTATCTTTATCCTAAAGACATTTTCAGTAAATGTGGAAAAATAGCAAATTACCTGTGATTTTTCATAGCTAAAATGGAGGTTTTGAAAAGTACTTCATGTGTCCCAGTGGTTTCCCCACTGATCAAGGAGAACGTGTTGAGTTTTTCCCCCCGGTTCTCCACTCATTGGCAGAGCTGGTTACAGACTAGTTGACTATGGAATGCACCTGTGACCGGAGCATCTCCAACTTCAGAAACGTGGTTACTGGTACTGGTTTAGCAGTCAGTCCCCGTACCACAGACACATCCGAACTTTTTAACGAGCGCCAGGAGATAGGGCGTCGCTCTCGGTTGCTGCAGCCCAACGAACAGGTGGCAGGCCTCTCCGAGACCAGGGCCTCTGCCGCCCAAGTTGGCCAGTTCCCGGGGGGACTCCTCCTGGCGCGAGCCAATGGCCACTCTGGCACAGTGCGAGGGCAAAGTTTTCTCTGAGTGCCACAGCCCCACGGCCCAACGGTTCCCGGTTCACGAGGGCACCAGGGGCGTCTTGCCCCCACAGAGCTCTGCCTGCCTTCCTCAGGCCTGAGGGAGGCGGGGGGCAGGGTGGGGGCTTTGGCAACGAGGGTCCAAGGAGCAGGGCGGGAGGCAGTCCGACAGCTGGTGACTGATCGCTACCAGAGATGGATTTTCTTTATTTTCCTCTGGACCGCCGTACAGTGTAACTAAGGGGACGCAGCTGATAAAAAGGAATATTCCAGCTTGCCACACAGGGGCTGCCGAACAATGAATCAAAGGCTGTTCTGTTTGTGGCCGCCTCGCGCCGTTATTAAATAAGCCTTCACAATGCTGTTTTAGTGCAGTGTCCACTGGGCCATGAGCGGCACCAGAGGAACCTTCATGCATGAATGAACGAGAGGCCACGGTGAATCAGCCGCATGAATTTAATAGATGGGGTAAGGTGGTGGGGGCGACAGTGTTGCAATTAAACGTGTACTAATTTGATTATGCCCTTCTCTGCGACGTGTGGGTCAGAAGCAGGACTGCGCCAAGCAAAGGAAAACAGCAGGATCCTTGGCATTGATTTGCATGGCCTTTTTCCCCCTCCCCTCTCTCTCTTTCATCTGCGCAGTTTGTGGGTCCTGACAAACCATGTTGTCTGTGCTACGAAAGCCAGGGAATTTTTATTTGCTTTCACTTTCAAGTCCTCTGTAAGCACGGAATGCTGACCTGCGAGGAGGGAGGACAGCTGTCTCTCCACTGCCAGATCACACACACATGCTGCCGGTCACAGCCTGGCCTGCCTGTGCTGGTCAGCCTGTGCGCCTGAATGTGCTGTTTCAGTATCCTGCACTAGGGCTAGCAATGGGAAGAAAAACCTTCAAAACCCTCAAAAAAAACTTCAGGAAAGCATTTTAGACAGGCATTTAGATTTTAGTTGCAAGTGAATACATTAGTTGTAAATGAGAAATATTTGTACACTAGTCTGTGTGCATTTTAATTTATGCATGGCATGCAAAATGACAATTTTGGACTATTAGTTTGTATAGTTTTTAGATACATCAAATGTGCATGAAAGATGGTATTCTCGTAAACTGTTATAGGTCTTCGACCAGAAAAATAATTTTAACTGAAAGCTAGCCAGTTAATGTACAGCCATTTTCTCTGGGAGACGTTTCTGCAGCTATATGCAGTTGCTAAACTAGAAAACAATGCAAAAGATCCATTAAGCCATTCATTCGGATTGAAAAGAACATTCTGATCTTATTTTCCAAGGAGCGAGGAATTTGTTTTCATGTGTATGTATTTACAGTTCTTATAAGTCACAAATGAATCCTGGCTGTCAGGTTTTTATTAAAAGGACAAGCCTGTTTGGACTTTGGAAAAAGAAAAGGCATCGCCTGGGATTCCTACAGAGATGGTGGATCAAGGCAGATCTGGCAGAAAACATTTTTTCTGTAATTGGTTAAGACAAATGGCATGGACAGCCTTTTTTGCTATGCAAGTTAATTTGCCTTTAGCCTAAAGACATACTGTTTGTGAATAGCTGGCATTTGACAAGAGTTCTCAAACAATTCCAGAGGGCCTCTTTTCTTTAGTAATTGCTGGCAATTTGCTCACGCAACACGTCCCATGTTTTTTTCGAACATTTTTAGCACTTATTTTGGCAATAGTCACAGTTCAAAAGCAGTGGTTTGCAATCCTTGTAAAAAGCACCTCCTATTCCATTTTTAACTGATGCCCCCATGACATATTTCTCAAACAAATCCACTTAAGATCACCTCTCCCACTTAGAAGAGGGCAGAGAATAGTACCTGTGGCTTCCGCGTCTTCCCAAGTTCTAACGGTTTAATAAATAAATGTGTGTTCAATGAAAAAAGTTAGTTACAGAACTTTGCCTTTTTTGCAGTGTGGTACTGGAACAAGATACCCAGCTGTCCTTTAGACCATCATCAATTGACTAAACAGAGCAACGGCTTTTACACCCCATTTTTCACATGGCACGTGCTGTAAGGATTGTCCTGATCACAAAGCAGTTGGTTCAAGGCTTTCACCAGCCTAACAGTAAACTAGTGTAATGAGGAAAAAAGCCTTTTTCTACCGAGAAACAGAAGGGTAGGCGACAGACCCGGCAGAATTTGGCCGACTGTAAAGCAGCCACTGGTTCGTGCTAGGCCACGGTTCTTCAACATGAGTACATCAGAATGTCACGCCTGCTCGGTCCTGCAGGAACGGTTCTTCACAGGGCACTTTTCCTCCTCCAATCCTGCGGTGATTTTTCACGGCTAAACATGATTCTGTTGGCTTTTCTTCCTGTTCTCAATCTAAGTTCTTTATTGACTACAGAATAATAAGTAGCTGTACAAAGACTCCCATCTTGAAAGTCAAACCCATGCAAACAAGGAATGACTGGTACCAACTGAAGTTGCTTTACAGCCTTCTTAACAATCTGGGGAGTCACATTTGGCAGCTCTCAGTACACTGTAAATTCTACAAAGAATAAACATAGCAAGTGCTGTTGGATTTATATGACTTGTTTTTTTCACAGGTTTTATCACGCTTAGCTTCAGTAGTGTGCTAATGTTTATTTTGTATGGTTCGTAGGGTACTGTCTTACATTTCCACCTCCATCTCTTTTCATTGGTGGCAAAGGAACAAAAAAGAAAGAGAATCCAATGTTTGGCAAAGCCCTGAAATCTTTTTTTTCGTTCTTTTCTTTTTAACCTTCTTGCTTGATGAAGAAAAAAGCAGTTTCTAGGGTAACCCTTGCTACTGCAGTCAAACATTAGTCAGTTTGTATTTGTTGGGGAGGTATTCTTTGAAATGTACATAGCAGGCGCCGATTCCCTTGACTTGGAAATCTATGGCAACTGTTGCTATGATAATGAATATACTGGCCTACAGCACGGGGGGTCAAAGGTCAGGGCCTGTAGGAGGAATGGGAGGAGTGATCAGAAGTGAACAGGTCAGCGATTCAGATAAAGTGATGTGAATTTGACAAATTATCTGATCTGAGCCGAGCTCTGTATCATAATGAACTCAGACTCCATTAATTTAAATTTAAATTAGTTCAAAATAGTGGAGAAACAAGGGCATTATTGTTATGAAATCGATAATCAGTTCTTCATTCTGCCTGGATCTCTTCTGTATGCGTGTTCACAGGAAATATCTGTGAGGATGTGGCCTGTAGTATATTTTTTCATATTAAGGCATATAGGAAGTTATGTTTATAGGACCTTTAAGTTACGGAATGGCTCTGCTTTGGGCCTTCATAAAACATTTTCAATCATTCTTAACCTCGAATGAGTGAAAATAATACCTGGATTAAATCAAAACAAAATCTGTTCTTTCCACTGAATCATCACGTTCTGGGCTGAGGTGTTGATTTTATCCGGTTCCACACATCATTTAAAAGCCCGATTTGTTTGGCAGGTGCCAGTTCAGCCTCCCAGAGCATAAGAACGCTTACAAACAAGAGGCGGTCAGTGGGTCTATGTAGATTATTTGGTAGTGGGGAATTAATTGATCCAAGGATCTCATCCAGCTGTTTCTTTAAGGAGGCTGGGGTATCGGCTTCAACAACACGGCTGAGTAGGTTCTTCCAGATTCCTACTTTGTTCTGCGTAAAGAAGTGCCCCCTGTTCTGGATCATGTTTCGCTGTTCAGCTGAAAGAACTGAACCTCTGAGGATTTCGAACACCGGTATCGGGGTCCCCTCCTGGTCTTCGCTGCTCAGGAGAAGCCTGTCTGCCCTTGCGCCCCAGATTGCATACTGACCCTCTGTTTTTCTCTCTGCCCTGCCTCTCCTGCCTGCTCCGGCCCGGCGCCCCGCAGCTGTGCAAGTGCACATCCTGAAGGCGGACAAGGCCGGCGAGTGGTGGAAGTTCACGGTGAACATCATCTCGGTCTACAAGCAGGGGGAGAACCGCATCCGGCGCGGGGACCAGTTCCTGTGGGTGCGGGCCAAGGACGTGGCCTGCAAGTGCCCCAAAATCAAGCCGGGCAAGAAGTACCTGCTCCTGGGCAACGACGACGACTCCCCGGACCAGAGCGGCGTGGTGGCCGACAAGGGCAGCCTGGTCATCCAGTGGAGGGACACGTGGGCCCGCAGGCTGAGGAAGTTCCAGCAGCGGGAGAAGAAAGGGAAGTGCAAGAAGGCCTAAGGGATGGCGGGAACCGGGAGCGGAGGAACACGGATGGAGAGAGACAGGAGGAGGGGGAGAGAGAGCGAGGCTGAGCGTTGCTGCTTTTGAGTAGACGCATGAAGAGAATATTAGGATGATTTTTAGGAACTTTGTGAAGGAGCTCACTTTGCAGTTGTGGGGTTTTTTTTTTGTGTGTGTTCGTTTTTCCTTCGAGATTTTTTTTTTTTGGATTTGCCGAGTTTGCACCTAATATTCAAACTATATAAAGCCTTTTGGATGTTTTTTTTTTCTCTGAGGGGTAGGGGGAGGAGGAGGGGAGTAAATATATCCAGTACATTTTGAACAGACATTTCAGTACAGCTAAAAAAAGCCAAGCTACTGTCTAGCTGTTTCTGTTCCAAATGCAGGGGGCTCCCATTTTCTCCCTTTTTTGGGCTTTGTACGTGAACAGAGCTGTTAAGGTGACAGGGGTGGTGGGGGTAGGGGAGAAGAACTGGTGGCACATTTCGGGTGACGGCCAGGTGGCCAGCCTGGCCACGTGAAACTGTGTAAACTCACAACAAGGAAAGTGTTAACACTTTAGTAGTGTAGTAAAACTAAGCTTTTTTTGTTGTGGTTCAGTATCTTGTAACAGAAAAAAAAAAGTCATGTATTTTGTACTGCAGCTGTTCAAAAGCCTGCCAGTACCTTTTGTGGAACTGCTCTTTGTGGACAATACCTCAAAATATGATACTTCACTCTGTGTTAAGATTATTAAAGTGCCATAAGTCTATGTTGGGGAAGATGGGTTTTGGTAAGCAGAAGTAGACAAACGCTTGACCGAGTTTCAACTTGAGATCAGAACGCTGTTGTCAAGTTAAGCCGGACGCTTCTACTGCCCAATTAATATGTGAAATACTAGTACAAGGGTGGTAAACTGATCAAGATGCCCATATTTTTGTATGCTGATGCCTTCAACAGGCATTCACACATTCTGACAACTTCAAAAAACAGACTAAACTGTAACTTATGATATCCATCCACCACTTTAGAAAGTAGTGCAGTGTTTGTATGGGTGGCTCAAGATGCACTTATAAATTTATATTATGTGTACTTCACCGATCTCTTGACTATATGTACCGTGTAAGCAATGTTTCTTGTCTGTATATTTCAAGTTCACTGCAGGAAAAGAAAAAAATATACATGAAGTGTTCTCTGATTTTCTACAAGAAAACAGACAGGCCTCTTCTGTAGGTCACTAAAACAGTTTGGTAGACAATCAAGGTTGTGGTCAGCTAAGGAAAACACACACTTAGAGCTATTCTCCTTTACCAGTCCTCAAGACCTGCGCTGCTATTTTTCTTTGAGATTTTGTTCAATCGTTTTTGTTATTTCCCACCTGTGAGAAGATAATGGATAGCTGAACTGATCTCTTTGGAGTCACTGAGCAAAAACCACAAAGCCGTCAGTTACAAACATTTCTTGAACTATCAATCTCATGCTAATGTCACTAGAAACCGCCATGCATCTTTTTGAAATCCAATTTTTTTACTTGCGTAGCTGTCTGAAAAGGGCTGACAAATTTTGAAATGAAGAAAAAAAATGAAACAATGTCTGTCAGTCTGTGGCAATCCTTCTGTGAAAAAGTTAAAAACACTTCTCTGACCTTTCCCCCCGAAATATTCACTGCCTGTCTCAAATTCTTCCGAGGAGCAACAGAATAAACAATAAATCCTTCCAACATGATTAAAAATACAAATGCATTGGCACTAAGATATTTACAGTAGTTTTCATTTCCAGAGACAAACATGTCTTCTGCAGGTCATGAAGAAACAACACACTGATACAGAATGAACCATACACAAACCACCACAGGCCCCATTGTAGCTTCAGATAGGCAATAGGGTGTACACTTATTACTTATAACAGTAAACCTATTACTGTTGCTATGATGTATTACAAGTACAAATTCAGTTTTTTGTGAAACGACAGTACAGTGAATATGTGATAGACTTGTGTCTTTTGAAAAAGGTGCAGAGATTATTTGGTACTCTAAAAAAGATGGGTTACAGGCCCTTAAAAATGTTATTTGTATAGCTAGTATTTTTATGTAAAACCTTAACTAGTTTATATATGAAAATTATTAACCAGAATTTTTAAAATACTGTAGATTATAAAAAATGAAAATAGAAAGCATACCTGTCTTTCCCATTTTGTGAGCCGACAGGACTGTGAACTCATATTGTACTACTGAGTCGGAAGAAGGGAAAACTCCTGGGGCTTTTCCCTGAACTGCTGAAAGGTGAAAGCAGTCAAATATCCACCAAACTACAACTTCAAATACAGCTTATCAGCAATGCCAAGAAGGACTAAATTAATTTCTAGCTAAGCATACGAGACGAGCTTCTGCATGTCTTTTGGACTGCAGATGAATATTTTTTTAATGTTACCCTTAATACATGAAATGATATTCAAGACCACCTGACTCTAAAGCGAAAATATTTTTGAGGTGCAGTAGTCCAAAGCTTGAAAAATCTTTGGATATGTCAAAGATATCTATGACAGAACAACTTTAATTAAGATTGGCAGCTGTGTGAAATATATTTTATGTAATTTCCCCTGTATTACAGCCTGACTGAGACCCTACAGCTCATGGTATTTACTATACGGATGAACTCCCCTGTGGAAGAGTTTTTACCGCAACAGACAGTCGCCATCTCTTTAGATTTTTTCAGTTCACTTATAGCTGTGTCGGGAATTGGGAACTCACGTTCACAAACACCTGACCAGCACATGCAGGATGTCCTACTGCACTTCAGACATGCTGTTCTTCAGCAAACACAAGCGAATTCAAGAAAAGTAATTACTGCAATTAGAAATTGAATTATTAGCTTATGCAGTCTGCTAGCGATGCACTACTTTAAGGTGCAAGCATGTCTCTTTCTACAAAAAAAACGTCATAGTGTTTACCATTCCATAGAAGTTTATTCCGTTTGAAATCTTTTTTCAATGGATGCAAACGGTCTCGGACGTATACAACCATTATACGTCGAGCCCAGACATCGGACCTCCGACAACGTGAGGACATGACCCAAACGCCACCCAACACTGACGCAACTTGTCCTGTTCCTACACTCCGCGGCTAAGACATGCAGCTGCTTCAGTTACGAAACACAACGGCAACACGTTGAGGAGAGCTTCACAAGCGTTATTTCAGAAAAAAATAAAGCAAGCAATGTCAAATTTAATTTGGCTAGATAAAAATAAAAAGTGGCACGCTCTTTCTACTCTGTGGGGATAATTGGGGAATCTAAATGCCAGGGTTTCCTCTAAAATGACAAATGAATCCAGATGCTCCTCATGGGCACACAGAATGGTTTCCATACTGGACTGAAATGATGGAAATTTGCAAACAGACATGACAGTCAGCCGTGCAGGAGGCTGTAGCCTGAGAGCAGCAGAGAAGGTTTGTCAATGAACAGTGTCGTTCAAGCTCCTGTGCATCAGCATCCGTGTGTGTAAAATATAAATGTGCCCACTGCCGACAGATATTGAACCAAGCAAGTTGTTGTTTTTATATTTAGCAGCCCTGTGATGTAAACTTTAGATTGAATACCAACACATTGTAAAAAAAAACAGTCTCACGATTGCATGTTTACTCAACACAGACCTGTCGGACCTTTTGTTTGGTTGATACCTTGAATTGTAAATGTTGTTTAGTTGTGGCCATTGCATTATTCTGCAATGTTTCTCTACAATGCATACTAATATATTATGGTTATTATATATGAATATATTTAATGACACATGAAACAATGTGGATTTTATTGTCTTTTTTTTCATTTGGTAGATGGCTGTGATTAGGGAAGGAATTTGTAACTACTGAGCACCAACCTGATAGAACTAAATTCAGAATTCAGTTTAAATAAACTCCTGTAAACCTAACTATGTGTTTTTCTGTGGGAAGCTAAATCGGACTGTCAAGATCTCGGAACTGGGTGGACTCGATTTTCCCCAATCTTGCTTTCCTTTAGGAAACTGTGCACAGAAGAAGGAAAACGTAACTGTAAAAATCCTTCAACACACTCTCAAGCAGTGATTTGTGCAATACAGTGGCCAGTAATCCGTCTACACTCTTTTTAAAACAACAAGTTTAAAAACATTTGAGAAGCAAATAGCCCAAATTCAGGAGCCCATTTTTATCTTCCAAGTACAAACATAGGGAGGCACTGAAAATCAGATCGAAATACAAAAACGGACAACAAAAGGCGACTCAGAGCAATCTGCACAATTCAAGGGGACCAGAGAGAGCATGTAGGTGTATGATTTCCTTACTTTAGAAAGAATTTACTGTTAAATTTCCAACTGAGTGAAAAGCCGTGTGGGGTCCTAAGTTTAGCCAGTTCTATGAACAATGATAAAAACAGCATTTCAACTGGGTTTGGGCTCAGGCCTCTGGAGACAGAGGTCAAGGGCTTTTCACCCTGGTCTCCACCCACTGCCCTCATTGCTAAACTCTCCCTTATTGCCCACCACGATCATAGTTCAGCCAATACCACTATTCTCTGAACAGATTTCTCAGATCAAACACTCACCCAGCAGTATCTAATAAACATAAAAAACCCAAAACATCCAGTCTGTCCCAATTAAATATTTCATTTGGCAATCCTACAAATTTGAAAAAACAAGCCTAGAAATTCTGCTTTAAGTGTCAAGAGTATCTTGTAAGACCTCTCATGGGGAGGAGCAGAAGTAGAAGTCAGAAGACATCTAGTTATATCTGACTTGCCTGAGTGGGCTCTGGGGAAACTGTACAAAGAAGCACAGACACCAAGGTTTTGTTAATGTCATTTATTAGAAATTACAGCCATTGATATCCTTTGATTCACAGTAAAGTAAAACAGTTAGTTTGCAACACAGTATTATTGTTCTTGGCTTATATTACTTTATAAACAATATAAAATTCCATTTGCAACTGATAATAACATGTGACAGCTGTAGTGTAAATATTTGCTAATACTGTATTTCTGAACCAGTGGTTTTAACAACCTGTTAGTTCAGATGAGACAGAACTGCAGTGCGCCCGGTAAAAAAGAGCCCTGCTGTAAGGCTGATCAAAGTTATTCTTCACAATAGAATACTTTTTTAGAGGAAAAAAAACACAAATTCTTACAAATCTAAATGGCATGGATGCCAGAACTATATGACCCCGAATCACCTGAATAAAGGTATTTCTCTCATGAATCAAAAGCCAAAAAGTACAGAGTGCAAAATGGAAAAATGGAAGTCTTCATCCCATACCCAGCCCGGTCTGACAAAGAGCTGCACATAACCTCCACGTTATTTAGTTGGCCACACAGCAACTACCACAATGGCAATTAGCAGCAACACAATCACCACTAGCATTCCTGAAAGAGGAAAACAGAAACAAAAGAGGATTAAAGAACAGAGCTTAATGTTAAATAAACAACAGGCAAGAAATTCAGATGCACTGTGGTGCAACCAAGGTTGCACAATGAGCTCCTTGCTAGCATGCTTTATTTCACATGGGAGAAGACAAATTGTGTTCCTGTGCAACACAGTGGTTTTGCCTCCCAGAACGCTATACCCATTAGCAAAGAAGACTTTACACAGTCACTCAAATGCTGTCTACAACAATGAAGCATCAGACCTGAAACGAAAAAATGGTTTACCATGAAAAAGAAAACAAATGAGTGAAATAAAATGGCTTGGTTATTTATTGGAAGGTAATAACACCAGCCAAAGCCAGCAAATCATACCAACATTGCCACATGCTTCAGTAAAACAAATTTCCATGCTTGAGGCCCACTGACACAGACAAATTTAAAGGATAAGGAAGTCTCGGCATCTCCTTTATTATCATACAGTCCACAACTGCTAATTGCAGGCAACAGAGACTTACACTGGGCAATTAAGTGATTGCATTGTTTACTTCTTTCACTCTCACTACAACGTTTTGGTGGTGGAGAACAGAACAGCTCTGGGTGGAGAACTGTATCGTCATTTTCTGGGAACTGAGGTCTGGAGCTGTGTGTGTTTGTGTGGGGGGGTCCCTCCTCAGGAACAGAGATCACAATATTTTCCAGACTTTTTTCCAGATTTAGAGTTCCACTATGGTAACTACAGACAACACAATTTGAGCATGAAATAAATCAGGACATTAATTTCCAAAACCACTGTCCTCACAGCATGCGGTCATGATAGCACCGTTGCCCCTCATCTCAGAAAAGTCAGTGATGCACGGGCTTGCTTGTTTTTCATTTCCCAACTTTGTCATGGAGGCAGCTACACCTCTAGCCTCTAGATCCACCTAGATCTGAAAGCTTTCTAGCTTTCTGGCAGCTTTAACCAGTGTAAAATCATGTAAAACAGCAGCCCACTCTGACCATAACCCTAATGTTGACATTAAACACATAGTGCTTCAGTCCGTCAATGTGTTTGACATATCGCCATGGCTTACTTACAGCTTGTGTTGCTAGCTCTGCTCACAGAAAAGAAAAGCAGACACGAACAGATCCAGACATATTCAAATTCTTTTCAACTGGAAGCATTAACATTCATTGTAAAAAAAAAAATCAAATGATAAATTCTTCATGAATTTATTAATCCTCAGTCCATTATAAGCACAAAATCAGTACTGGTTACAGTAATGCGAATTAACCAAACCCCAATGCTTATTTTCCTCAATATACAGACTTATCTCCAGACTGGAACCTGAATGTGTTTTTCAGGGCACCCAGAAGAGAGGAGCACAGCAGAAGAATGTGGCAAAACAATCTTAATTCCCTATTGTACAGCTGCACAAGGAAAAAAAAAGCCATAAAAGACAATTTTTTGCATTGATCACACAATGCAGTCACTGTTAGCTGTCAAGCCCAGTGTTAAATGCATGTTTTATGGCATGCCAATATTTACTGTAAAGTATCCACTCATTCTCGGTTGGGGAGCCCATGGGAAAAGAAGGGGTTTTAAAGTCTGGCAACAATTCAAGTGGCATTACAAAGGCATCCAGTAACTCTGTCATAAACATGTCTTGTTGTGACAGTTCCCCCTTGCATAAGAGAGGAAAAAGAGCTGGCGCTGGCATGGCCAGCCAGTGACTCGACTGTCACAGAGTGCTGGCTGCGACCATGCCTCACACAGCTTCACAGCTTCCCTTGTCACACAGCTGCACACACGGACCGGCTCGATGAATATATGCTACACCGGGACATCAGATATTGCTCTCGTGCTTCTAACAGGAATCTTTCAGGCTTAGGAGAACCGATTTAGGTTGGTGTAGTACACTGTGTAGCACAACATATACCACTCACATCATCTCACATTAATGTTCAACTCCTTGAGGACAACCAAGCATACTTTACAGTTACAGGTGCAGAAAAAGGCACTACAATGGGATAAAAGGTCAATTTGAACCTATGCCACGACAAAAGAGAAGGGCTGTGCAAGGTCTGACTGAACGGGATTTGGGAAATGCAGTGGAATCTGAAGACAGAAGCCAGCACTTAAATGACTGGACCATCATTTCGCTTCCAGCTGGCAAAAGGCATCCAAGTTCCATAAGCAATTACCACAACCAACTGGGCAATTACAGTCCTGTTATTACACCCACTGTTTAACGACACCAAGCATCTCCAAACAACAGAAGCTTTCCTCAATCTGCTTTGGGAGGGGAATATCGGATGTAGGAATCTTGTTTGCCGATTTTGCAGTTGGCAACAGTTCTTTTGTCAGTGACAGACCAGACAGCGGTCGTAATGTCACCCTGCGGTCAAGTCCTGCCTGCCTGCGCTGTTGCGAAGAAAGAAAGATAGATTGTGGAAATGTTTTTATAAGGTCGCGCTCATCCCATTAATGGTGAAGGTGGAATTATAAGGTAACACTTTTTTTTCCCCACCGACATGAAGTCACTAATTTTTCGCCCACTTCGCAGCTCTTGTCTTCCAAGTCGAGGACTTTACTCATTTATTGGGTTGACGCTTTTATTCAAGATAACATACATTTGCATCAGTTTAAAAGGCTGGATATTTTCCTGAAACAACACAGCTGAAGTATCTAGCTCAAGGGTACAACAGCAGTATCTCACGTGGATTTGAACCCACAACCTCCTGGTTACAAATTCAGAACCCTAACCACTGTTTCACCATGCAGAAAGTCTGATGGTCCTATTGACACGCTATGTACTTTATGTACTTTGAAAGATAAGTAATCCTTATTTCAGAGCTGCTGTTCTGTTTCTTCACAGAAAGAGCTACTAAGCCCAACCCACACCAAACCTAAACTGTTAATTTTTGTGGAACCTGAAATCTGATACAGGCTTGGCATTTTTTTCCATGGTTTAGCCATGAAGAAATCTTGTTTTTTTCTGCCAGAAAGGGTCCCGTGTATCAATATCTAACTGTTTGGGTCTCTTCTGGCTATATGCTCTGTGAACCAATCTATCACACTAAAATAACAGGATGACAGAAATTGAGAGAAAAAAACTCAGGCAGTATATTATGTTAAACATTCACATGAATTTGGCTGTTTTTAAGTTAAAAGGCAGTATGAAAGGATTATCAGTTTGTTACAGTTTCCCTAATATTTGAAACTTTAAAAGCTTCAGCAGCTGTTTTGTATTTTTTTTCATTAAATCTCTTTGATGAGTTGGCAAGAATTGTCCTGGATACCTCGTCACATTTTCTAGAAAGGAATGTGTCAAGCCTAAATCCTTCATTTTTTTGCTCTTGTGTGTAGTTTTGCATGGCAATTTTACTAATCTCTTGCCAAGTAGTTGCCTTAACCTAGCCAGGCACAGGAGAATGCAGAAAGCACTAATTCAAATAGCATTCAGCTGTCTGGAAGAAATCTGGCACAGATTTTAAACTCATGCATCGCTGCAATTCTGAAAGTTGTCAGCCAGCTTCCACTACACAAAGTGTTCTCGGCTTACTCAGCTTGTCCACTATTATATCAAATTAAGCTTTTTTGTTTATTTTCAGTTCATATTTTCAGCTTAGTTAATATTCTCTTTATTTTCAAGCTCTCACTGCCCATACACAAGTAGCCTATAGGAAGACACTATAAGGGAGGCACTAGCTGGGGAGTCCTCAAGAAACCCGCCGGGCTTCATGTGGTGTATGTGGGTCTAAAATATCTGGGAGGCATGTTGCTTTTGCTGTGAAACCAGGAGTTTTTAGACCAAGCAGCTAAAAACACAAAAGGGATTGTATGAATTACTCCAACAGGCAAAAAAAAAACCCAAAACTGGATAGAGAGTTTTTTTGGTGCACGATGCAGAAAAGCAAAATAAAAGCAGAGAGAATTCAGTGGCATAGCAAGCAAAAACAAAATCCCGATCACGAGCAAGCACAGACAGACAAGCACAAAGCAGGATTCCCGTGATGACTACGGAAAGTTCAACTAATATTGGACCTTATGTCCTTACACACTCACTGGCTTACAGGTTTCTAGCCCAAAACAGAGGGCACGTGCAGAAATTATGTAGAAGTGCATTCAAAACTGAGACCAGGAGGCACTTCTTTACACAAAGGGTTGTAGGAGAATGAAACAACCTGTCCAGTCATGTTGTTGCTGGAGCCAATACCCTGTCTTCTTCCAAAAAATGGTTGGATGAGATCTTTGGATCCATTAACTACTAACTACCAAACACAAGCTCGATGCGTCAGACGGCCTCTCCATTCTAACGGCCTCCGTTTCTAACGTCCTTATGTTCTCATCGCCTTACCAAGGATTCACCCCATTTCAAGACACTGATTTGTTGAGGGGGGAAAAAGGGTCTAACATCCGGATTGAGCAAGGTTCGTTGGAGCATATACTGGACATCAAAATGTAATATTCAATGCTGTACTGTTGGATCTAGCGGGGGGGAAAAGTCTGCCCTTCACCTGCCAGAAACAAATAACAGCTTAGAGAAAACCTGCAGGACACACTGAAGATACAAGAGACACAGTAAAAGTCCCCATGTCTGAAGAATCTATTCTCTCGGTTCTCTCACTCATAGTGAAGAGGGCCACACTCCAGTTTTGATTCTGGTATCGGACATGATAGCACAGAACAGGATTAAACACCCCTCTCCCTTCCTTCATCTTGGCTTTTGGGAGAACTGTCATCACCCTCCTAAGTAACTAAGTAAGCTACTTCTGACCTGGCTTGTGTGGCTTATTGACAACGGTCACGTTTGCAGGCCAAGCAGATTAAAGCCTCTGGCTTTGCAAATCGCGGCAGCAGTGCCTTCCGTTTCCATGTCAAAGTCAAAATGACCACCCAGAGCTTTAGAAGGAGGCATGCAGACTCCCTATTCACCGGGCTGGCGCATTGCTTCTACAAATCAAATTTGATGGACAAAAGAAAAAGGAAAGAAAAGAAAAAAGGAGCAATTGTGAACCCCCCTCTTCCCTCCCTCTTTCGTATTGTCCCTCAGCTGCACAAAAGGTTCTATTGGCCTTTAAGAAAGAGTCAAGTTTTATGTTAACATGATTAGCCATCATTTTACTAATTGTAATCCTGTTACAACCCCCACAATAGTATTGCCAAACCGATCCCACCACTACACCAGCATCACTTATTTAAAGATGGAATGAGCCACACACTGCCTGCCTTTCCCTGAACTACCCCCATTTTAAAATAAAAAAAAATGCACACGCAGATACATTAAGCAAGCAATTTAAAAGAATAAAACCTTCCTGTTATAAAAGCACTTTTGTATTTTGTTCACTGGGTGTTGCGGAGTTAAAACAAACCAATTACACAGAACATGAATAATTTAGCAGGGAAATCACAGTCTCAGCTGACAGATTTGTAAGGTGAAACCTCAGGCTGAATTTTTACAGCCCCATCAATTAAATTGGGGTTAATTTGTCCTTCACGGTCTTGGATCGGGGCAGACAGGCCTAGGATTGCAGAATTCCCCAAGCTAGGTTCGCGTAGTGTGTTTTTGCTCCCTCCCCCAGCAAGTATAGCGCACCACAATTTAACTTCCCTGCCTCTTGTTTTAAGCAGTTTGTTACGTCTATGAGAAGCATACACTGGAAAAATATCAGTTACCGTGTAGCCTGCTTTTAGTCTACTCTCCTTTTACTTCTCATCGGACAGAAGTCTTCTTTAGAACTTCTAGAGCAGTGATAAATAACCAACTGATAAATAAATCTGTAAAAGCTTCGCAAGAAAGACCCCCGATTTTGGGGGTTCATTCCCACACACCTTAAACTCGGTGACTCAAGCAAAGGCAGTCCATGAAGAACCAACTAAATCATTCAGAAAAATTTTGCAACTGCAAGCTGACTTCTTTTCTGAAACTCAGTCCGTGCACTTGATGCAGAAGCTCTTCTGCAGCCTTTCAAACGAGAAAGAAAGGAAAAAAGGGAGAAAAGCAAGGAAGACGCCCATAAAGACCCTCCAAGAATAAAGCCGGGTTTTTTGGAGCCTCCTGTTTCCCTCATTTAACCTGCCTGTGAACATGGGAATCATTAGTCCCAGCCGCTACAATTAACTCGCAAGCATCCGCCTTCAAAAGCCCAAACAATTCAGGGCTACTTGAGATGCAAACAACCTGTGAGATTCCACGCCGCAGGAGTGGCAAATTGCTGGATAAGTAGATTATTGGAGGAAAAGGAGCTGCATTGAGCAGCTTTATGAGATGATTAAACCCTGGGAAACTCATGCCACAAATCCCGGGGCCCTTTGGTGCCCATTAATTTTGCGCCACAAGGCTAATCTGGTATCAGAAATCCTCTCTTTTCTGAGCGGGGGAAATGACTCTGTGAAAGAGACTTCATTTAACTTTTTAAAGACTGCCTCAACTTTTAATTTTGGTCAGGGCGATCTTAAAGGCTATTAAAAAGGTTAATCTAAGCCTGTTTTTGTCTCCCTAAGTTCAAAGATCCTCTTTTCACTGTAAGCTATATGCAACTGGGGTACGCCCCCCCTCCCCCCTCCCCCTTACCCCCCACGAAATAAAGCCCCTGCCATGATACTAGGTCAGAGGCAATGTTAAGACAGCAGTGTACAAGTACAAGTAGCTTACAGTATACCTTGTAGCCAGATTGCATCAGAAGAGCAAGGAAGGATGGCTGTGCCTGGTCAGTACTGGGATCTGAGACCTTTCAGGAAAACCAGGATCCTGTATCCTGTTCTAAGTGGTGTACAGTATGTGGCCTTCTTTACTATGGACCACAATGTCCACAGTAATGCCCCACTACAGTGACAGAGGACACGACAGTGGCAGGTGCGTTCTTCATCCAAGACATTAAACTGAGGTCATCAGAGATCCCATGGGATAGCTATGAAGTTGAGGTGTTATCCCTGGCACCTTGGCTGAATTCCAGTCTGGACTTGGACATTCTGGCATCTCCAGACTTCTCCCTTGCTTCAACTGTTAATGCAGTTACTCACTTCTATGCCATTAGGGGCTGAAAAGACTATGAGTAAAAAGTCCTATTCACAGAAGAGCTATGAGTGCTGTACGACTACCATGTAGATCAGCTCCACACAGAACCCCACATTGATTATTTCCTCCCGGGACATCTGTACAGAGCTGCACTGCTGCTCTCTGCTCATAACTAATGTTTGCAAACTGGCTGTGCCTGTACCCTGAGATATCGGCCCTTTTCCTTCAGAAAAAAAAAAAAGATGACCCCTGGCAAGTCCCAGCCTGCACTTGTTCCCGTCTTCAGTTTGGCAACAAAAACACAATGGCAGCTGGCGTGCATACACTTCCCAGCCTGAATCTCTCCCCTCCTTTCACTGTGGGGGCTGGAGCTCAGCACGTAATGGGACTCCCAGAAACAAAGACTGAAGTTCCTTAATTAAGTCAAAATCGAAGGAAGGCCTTCAGAAGTGCTGTGCTTCCACCTTCAGTGCGAGTGTCCATTGCACCAACCCCTGCAGTGGTGAGTCCAAGACCCCCTCCCCCCCCCCCCCATATTATAAAACGGATAATGCCCACAAAGTTCGACAAACCCTTCAGCATTTCTTTCTTTCAGCCTCCTCCACCACCACCACTTCTCTCTCTCCCGCTTTCTCCCCTTCGCTTTCAGTGCTCTTGTGGTTTAAAGGCTGTATCCCTGGCTTATTAAACAGGAAAACAAAGGGTCTTCTTGTGTGTCTTGGTGAAACCCCACTGGAGAGTCTGAGACTCATTCCCCTGCTCTCCAAAGCCCAGAGTGGTATTTTGGCCGTTTCCATCTCATTAACATTTCCATACGGGATTAAAGAGCATATTATAAATTTATCTAAGTGCGAGTGAAAATCCCTTTTTGGCGACTAAAGGTGCAAAAGTGTTTTTTAAACGTTATTAACCAATCTCTCCCCTCCCTCCTCTCCACCACCGGCCTTGTTTAATTGTTTAATTACCTCTGGAAAATCACCTCGCAAATTACAGCTTTTAATGTTCATTCAAGCAGCTCTGGGGGTATGGCACCTACTCAACAGTGGTCAGAGGTTCCTTTCGTTTTGTGAAAACAAGAAGTCCTCAAGCTTCCTCGCAGCAAAACTCCTGCAAGTTCTGTGTGTTCTCCCAAGTGGAACTGGGAGTTAAAACAGCATATATTTTGGATGAATAAACACTTCTGACCAGCCCAGTTTTGAGGAGAAAGCAGTATGCTTTAAAAAATATTCTTCTGACCTTCTGAATCAATGGCTTAAAATGCCCATACAACTCTAATGATGATCGGGTACCAACTTCTGACCCGTTGGGCTGTCATTAAAGAGGCGTGTAAAAATGAGCCCACACCCACGTCGTCCGAAATCAATGTCCACTTTTCCAAAGTAGCCTGTCCGGTTCTGGTCTGATCAAGCTTTAAAAGCACACGTCAGCCAAGAAAAGCAACAGTCGGTCAGATCACAAGTCCTAAAACTGTAGTGAAAATGCAAAAACCAATCTGCGATATGCGCCATTTTCTCTTCTGTGCAGGAGAAACAAAAGTCGGGGAGTCAACGGAAAAAAAAGAAAAGAAAAGAAAAGTGAAACACAAAACAGGGGAGGGTGGGAGCTCATAAGAAAAGGGAATTTTCTGTTCCCCTGGCCTCCCCCTCACAGAATACATTAATATCCTTAAGTGTTGGCAAAGGCAGAAAACACTCACGGGCCTAACAATGTGCGCAGTGACTCGGGGTCTGGGATCTTCAAATAAACGCTCCGCAGCTGTCATGGGTAACAGGAAATGGAATTAACTGTTATATTAGCTGACCTTCATCTTGTTGTTTCTTCAGACCTGACTGCTTGAGCCCTGGCTGCCTGTTACCAGGGTCCCCCGGCCGAACAATGCCGGCATTTCCCAGGCAATACAGCAGTGGGTTTGCTGGACAAATAAAACCAGGCCCAGAAAACGCGCTCTCCCACATTCGAGGCCCCAGCAGTATAATTTTTCTTTTACCTTTTCCAATAAAGCCAGTATAGAGTAAAAAACCACTACTTTAAAATGAGAGTCAAGAGATTAAGAGGCCCTGTGCTTGGTAACGAAGGCTGACTTCACCCCCAGACGCTCACTTCCACGAGAGCTCTTCTGTCTTACAGGCACATTAATTGACTTCTTCAAAAATACAAATCTGACACACTGAGGTTTCTTCCTTGGTGCTATAATCTCAGTAGGAGATCAGATGGCATTTAAATCACAGTGCAAAGTTCTTCATGCTAAATTAACTACAAATAACAACATACTGTGAGCCCTGTTTCAACAGCCATTGTTAACAGCTGCAGAAAATGTGCTCCATGTCTTTGACGGTGGCGTTTATAGTACTTTCATTGAACTGCTTGTCGTTCACAGTTGATATTAAATTCAGAATGGACACAAAATGATGTACATGGGCTCCCAGAGAACCAGAAACATCAGTTTTGGAACACAGAATTCAGTTGCTCTTTACTGCAATGCAAGCGGAAAGATTGCCCATGAGCTGACTTGCGGCTTCGCTCTTTAATGTTTCTCGAAGATTCTGCGTCCTTTACGCAAAACATAACACAATACAAAAGCTATATTTGGTCTTCATTAACACCAGCTTTTGTTGTTATAAGACCCTGATGACACACTAATCACACAGGATTGTGTGTTTTGGATACAATATTGTTATTATTTCTACCTCCAAACAGAATAGGTGCAAAACATCTCACATTATATGCTTATGGTCACTACTTGAGTGAGTTCAGACACACCGCTCACGCTGACATTCCCGGTCGAAAGGTCATTCAGCAGTGGAATACCACATAGTATATTGCTGCAGACACTGTGCCAGCTCTGAAGAATGTGTTTTGTAATTAAATTGTTTAAATGTGTTTGGCAAATCAGCGCCCGCGGTTCTGGCTTATTAACCATAGCTACAATTCTAATTACCATCAGAAAGCAGTGATGGATGACCTTGGCAGAAGTACTGTGCACCCAGGGCTTTGCCATTTAGCCCACTCTCTGTCTCCTCGGCTCCACCAGCATCAGTGGAGCTATTTAAACAGCTGCATACGCAAATTGCATTTCTGCACCTCTGAATAGTTAAGGTGGCTTGAAAAGCTAGGTGCCTTCATCTTTTTTAAAATCTTTTTCTACACAAGACATCCATTTTATGCCCACTGCATTCAGATATGAGCCCTTACAGCGCTATTGTATCACAGGAGTGTCGTAACTTTGCCCTGACGCTACAAGTGAAAATTCAGGTTAGATTTTGAAATATGGATGATCACCAACAGGGGAAACAACCGGCCGTGTTGTCATACTATTTTGAGTCATTACACATGCTTTTCTATAAAAAGACATGCCAGCATGTGAACATTTAATTTAGGGGCCAAATAATTTTCAGTGCTCCATGCGATTCACCATTTATTTTGATTGGCAGCAGATTATAGTGGGAAACAGTGAGTGCAGTCCATCCCTCATTTGTCCTGCATTCTTACCACACGAATGGGACATGCTGGTAGAAACACCAGTTCCAGAGGTCACTGCCCTTGAAAGATGCGTGCCATAACAATACAGAATTTGCACAGACTAACCCCCGTTTCCGCCAGAATCCGTCCAAAAAGCTTTAAGACTATGATGCCACCTTGTGGGCTAAATGGCGGAGCAATCAATCAGCTTTCAGGGCGGTTAGCGAGACTCCCATGCTCTTGGTGGATCCTGTTCTTCCTGCTTGCACCACCGCAGAGCCGGAAGGCTCCCTATGGAGACAGCACCTTGCCGCTCTCCGTTTCAAGGCTTACAGGAGACCTCTTCATCTTACAGGGCCACCCCAACACTAACGCACCCCGAGAACGGCGGACGGCGGCCCGCGGCTCTCGTCCCTCAGCTCATGTGCCGCGGCCACAGTTCTGTCCTGTTACTCGGGGGACGCGGCCTAGCTCACACTGCAGCACAGAGAGAGCAGCAGGCTCGGCGTGTGCCTTTTCATGAGCTCCCGGTACAAAACGTGGCAGGGTCACTGGGAGAGGAATTCTGGACGGGATATACTACACGACGTACCGAGAGAAGAAGAACTGCTGCAAGCTGGGGAGCATCAAAAGCACAGTTCCAGAATAGAGGTAGAAATGGGAGTACTGTCCCGGTGGAGTAACAGCCCTGAAATCTGGAATTGGCACAGGAAACAACACTTGGTATTTACAAGCTGCTGTATTACTTACCATTCCAACATTTTGAGCTCCTTATCCCGGAACAAGAAGCTTTAACGGAGCTCCTAGTGAGGAATTTATCACAGACATACCACAAACTATTAATTTGCTATTAATTGAATGTTTTTGGTGCATCAGATCTTGTACCAGTGCTACGAAAATGGCAGGTGTGTAAGATATCATTAATACGGAGCAGATTAAAAGGACAGGGAATTCAATGAGGGAAATTAAAAGATGGCATACCACAGGAAGTGGACTTAGTTTCCACAATTTTAACCCTTTTTGTTTCCTTGCGAATCCTGCCGTCTGTATGGTCTACCAAATGCGTTAGGTCATCGATGATCTCTGGGGAGAAAAAAAACACAAAGAGAACATTCAAAGTTATTATATTAAAGTAAGGACGAAGTACCTTTATTTTTGAAAATCACATTATGCCAAAGACCGCAAAAACAAAAGCCTGGCTTATTTCAAGCCAGAGTGACCCTCATCTCTTCCTTCTTCTGGAGGAGAAATAAAGCCAAACAGACACTTACAGTCTTGGAACAATCTAGCAGCCCTGGTTATTCTGAGAGACAAAGTGAGAGGTATAAGAACCCCACACAGTAAAAACAGCCAAAAACGGAAATAAAAGCTATGTTGCTGGAGCTCATACAAATTTCTAGCTGCTGTAGTTAAATATATTTTAAATCCGCTTCTTAGTCTGTCAAGAAATAGATGTATAAATCACAAGACGCAAACAGAGATGGGTTTGTTTCTTCACCATCCCATAAAAGTCATTTCATTTGCGGTCTCTCTTAGCCTAGAAACTGGTACCAAAATCTGGTTGAAAGAAAGATGGTCACGTCTTACTCATGATCAACAATGGGACCTGAAGACAGCCCCCCTGCCTTGCAGATGCACTGGAGGATTGTGTTGAATTAGAGGTCAATATGAGGCTTCCAGGACCCATTTTCTTACATGTTTTCTACAGTAGGTCATTTGTGCATTTAATCCAAGTTTTTAACATGAGCCCTAAAAGGTGCAACACGCACTCTCAGGTGCCAATACTCAATGCAAGCTGGAATCACGACTAGCCCCTCCTGACTGCACCCTGGGGCAGTGAATTCTGTGGGAGGGGTGGCAGGCTGATCATTTCAAGTCAATACTGCAGAAGGGGGTCACAACCGCACTGGATAAATGTGCTGGATAAGGTTTCATGTTCTTGTCCTATACCTCAAAAACTAAAACAAAATGCACAAAGAGACTGTGCTGCAGCAAAAAGCCATATTTATTTTCAGAAGAATGCTGGTTTATGTATCATGTAAAGCTTCCTAAACAAAATGCTTTTGTTGACTGTTAGTGAAGAAATGCCATTACTGTTTACCACTGTTAATGTATGCAGTACAGTATGTGCAATTAAAAAATGCTCTATGTGAGAAAATTAATTTGTTTCAGCTGCGTAACATGGCAGGTATTTTAGAGAAGGGTTATACGTGAAAGAAAGCTGAATGGAAGACTGTAACTCATAATGTTTCATAGTAAAGGGACTATGGTGATCACAGGAAGATTTCTATTTACGAACAGAGGAGCAAAAACCCACCAGACTTTTGCTGCTACAAAAAAAAAGTTTTATGGAAACCAGAAGAACTGATAAAGAACGTAAATGTAAATGTTCACAGATTCCCGTCTTTGTTTTTCAAGAATGTGCATTCTCCCAGTGTGCTTTAACGGATATATTGCTGACAGAAAGTCTCACGTTCGTAGAGAGCTACAGTACATTCTTTTCTGGCACGTATGTCAAACAGGGCCATCACGTTTTCAAGCACCTCACTGAACTGGCTGATAGAAGCACACGTTGGAATAGACACAATCACCTCAGTTTTATTGATCAGAGGGTATTTCAGAAAAAAATTAGATTGTTGGGTAGATCTTTGAAGACAGAAACAGCCAGACAGCCTCAAAGAACATCAATCCTGTCACTTTTAAAAGGAGATAAAGACAGTAAAGGTCAGAAGCTTTCTTTAAGCCTGCTCAACCATAGAGCAGCAGGATGGGTTTCATACCATCAATAAAGGCTTCAATTTATTTAACTCAGAGCAACTCTGACACATTTTGACAAATGTTTGCAATATGGAATATGAAGATGAAAATAGTGGAAAATGTATAAAAATCTAAATAAAGAAAAAATCAAAACCCCATGTGTCAGATGACTTTACCTTCTACACAGATATTTCCTTTAAAGAAAAAAATCCTTTTAATTTACCCTTTTCACATCTCTTTATGGGCCAAGTGATAATACTGCCACAATAGAATTCAGTTTTTAAGCTATTTTCCAGCAAAGTTCATACTTTGGAAGAGGTTTCAACAATCACAGAAAAAAGTCAAACAGAATCGAAGAAAAACCAGGAATAACAATATAACCACCTAAACTCAATTAGAAATAAATGACTGAGACAAAAGGCACAGCCTGCCAGAAGAAAGAATCCAAACCCTCCTGTCAGGTGTCATATCAACTTTAAATCTTAGATCATTTTTCACTCCATAAAAATGAGTGGGTGTCCCCACCAGGAATCCAAACTCAAAATGCCACTCGTTTCATGTTTTGTGTACATGTTGGCAAATGTGTGTTCTGTTTGTGAGCAACATGAGGCCGGCTCTTAGGGAAAACGTTTATGAGCTTAAAAGATGTAAACAGGTCAATGGTGTCTGAAGCAAAGAAAGGCAGTGTGATATAATATTGTGACGTCATAAAAAAACTCCAGCCTCTCAGATGTCACAGAATCAGCCATTAGGCATCAATTTGAAATGAAAAAATGGCATCCACAAAAGCTCCATTGGTCCAAGCTTCCTGAAAGAAAAACAGGTTTCGGTTCACCTGGCAAGTGGCCAGGGAATTTGCTTTCCTCCAAACTACATAATTAGAAACATCCAAACGTGGTGATGGGACAGAAATGGAATAGCTATTTACTGATTTGACTCACCAATCACCCATTCCACGAAAGAACAAGAGCTTGTAACTTACAGGGCATGTTTATTGTCCGTATTATACTGGATAAAGTTCAGAAGCCACAGTACGTGTACATGCTCTCTCGGACTCGGTCCACATCGCTCTCGGCTCTCTCATGCTTTCAGCTACGACCACAGTGACAAGGGGCTGACAGCTCCTGAGGCCCTATCACACTTGTGAGACTGGAAAGACAGGAAGCCCACACAATACCCCTGTCCGGAGCAAGCACTAGCCATCTGACGTTTGCATCTGAAAAGAAAAACGTGTGTCGCAGGTTCCCATCACAACTCAAGTTTCCCATCGTTGTCAAGGACGAAGCCTGATAAACAGTTCCCTTCGTCTGCCAACAGTGACCAGAGCTTCTGCGCTCCCTCCCCTCTCCTCCCCTCCCCCACCCAACAGGAGGATTTGCTAACCGTGCGCTTGGACAATGTTGTGCCGCTACAGCAGAGGCCACAGTTCAACCAGAGCACTGCAATGAGGTGCAGATGGGAGCTTCTTTCAGAAGTATGGGTGGAAAAAAACAAAAACGAGTTCACGTGCAGCTTTCGCTTTGGAAAAAAAGCAAACAACCATGTTCAAATCAGCATGCCTAGAAACAGGGGTTATTACTGGCTTCCTGAAACAAAGCGTCCCCTCAAAAAATAGGAAAAAAAAAATGATGGTAGCTTGCCAGATATGCACAGAAGCTCAGACAAAAAATGATGCTGCATCCAGGTTTGGGTTTTTGACAGTGGAATCAAATTAATCAAAATAGACAAAAAATAAAGAATAATTCTCCATAACACCTCAGTACACATAACATTCAAAATGTTCTTCAAACAAAGTATCTTGATTTGAGAAGTACTCAGATAGACATGCACTTTTAATATCCGTCTTGAAGCTTTCTTGATTTTAAACTTAAAATATGTAAGATCATGAATGAATACCTCAATACTGGAAATGATTCTTATCTTTTATGGCCTGTAAGGAGAGGGATTCCACAGTGGAGAAACATGAATTACATGGCAGTAATAATTAAACACTAATTTCTTCAGTCCACAATCTGCCTAAATAGCCATTAGACACACAATATACCACATTACTATACACTATGGGGTGCAAGTAGAAATATACATAAAAACATCAAATGAGCCACAAAGTGCCTTCTGCAGTCTTGCAGAGATGAGGGAAAAAATTAATAGAGCAACAAATTATTCTCTGAGTAACATTTTCATCATACTTAAAAACCGAATCTAATTACTGTCCCAAACCTTTAGTAAATGTAGATTAATGGTTGCTATTAAATGTTTTTATAACAGTCATTATTTTAAAATGTCACAAAGAGGGGAACGGTACATACTGCTAGCAGGACCAAAAACAGTGCCATATGGTTCTTTGACTACCTCAGTAGTCAAAGGCACAAAAATATAAATGGTATATGGAAGCAGAGATAGAGAGCACTTTTCATTGTGCTCTTTGCTTTGCTTGTACTGAAACTCCGCTCAACAGATACTTTCCATAAAATCAGGAAAATAAACAGTAACTGAGTGTCTCCCCTACATCTTTGCCCCCTTGCCCCACACACTCCCTCTTTCCAAATTATAGTCTAATAAACACATGCAAGAGAAACAGAATGAATTTTACATTTCCTGCAGTATATTTATTATGGTTTAAATGTTGGCTTTATTTGTCTAACTTCTTCCTCAGGCAGGTGGTTTGTTCTTGAGACTTCTAACCAGCCATAAGAAGAGGAAACAGGCCCTTGAGTTTATCACTCAGAAACGAACGTTTTCCATGGGTTCATTCACTGTGTGACTGGCTTGCGGGCGGAACAGCAGACACAAACAAAGCTGATCAGTGCGCACAGGTGTTTCCAAGATACAGTCTTGGCCCTGCTGCATGGGAAATGATGCAACAGAGACAGACACACAAATTGATGTGAAAGTCAGCGATTAGAACTGAACAGCCCTGTGGGACAGACTTTCTGCACAAGATCAGTAAATGATTCCTGGTTACACGTGAGCTGTAAAAAGTGTGTGTGACTCATGAAACAGGACACATCAAAAACAGAGACACCAATAGGATACAGATGATCTTCAAGATGAAATCATCTACATCATTCGCTACAATTCCACATTTCAAAAACCATGCAGCACCATGCTCTATTGCTGCCCCTCTCTGCAGACTTCATTTTTGTTGTACACCGACAGGGTGATGGAAAATTAGATCGTCAACCATTGGCGTCTCACAACCCAGAGCAACAGATGTTACACATGATACCATCATACAGTGTGAATGATGAAAACTGTTCATTGTGACAAATCATCGGAGTGTAAATTTGTGTTGTGTTTCACGGGTCACTTTTACCTGCACCGAA